ACACCGAGCCATCAATCCAAATATGCGCCACTGTCACTCCTGACATTCCTGACGTTCCTCTGCCAGCCGCAGCCTGTCAGCAGCACTCCACCAAAACATGTCAATTCAGCTCAGCCCGCAACAATATTAACGCATGACACCGTTTAGGTGAAGAGGCTGTGGAGCAACCGTGTGATAAAAAAACACCAGGGCTAAATTTGAGCCGACTGATGTGGCAACAAATTTATCATATCTAAGTGTAGGTATCGGTTCAATATTAGTCCAAATTTCATGGTCAAGATTGCAAAAAAAAAAAAAAAAAGCTAAGCCTGTCCAAACTGGAAAAGCTCACTTTTGTATTTGAAAACTTTTTTTTATATGATTAAAATAAGGGCAGCGGATGGTGAACATCTTGGATCAGTTTCTGAGTGAATGAATTAGGTCCTTGAGTGATGTTTTTTGTTTTTTAATATATAGAGTAGTAAGTGAAACAAAAAAAAAAAAAAAAACTTTTAGAAAGGCGACTGCTGGCTAACTATTCCTACTGTGTACAGTTCAAAAAGGGTCTTTAAAAAATAATCTCTGTAAGTTCTTCAATTTGACCTGGAAAGGAGGTTTTTAAACTTTTTTTTTAAAGACTCTACGGTTCGACTTCCTCACAGACTTCAACTTCAAGTAGTTGGCTCGGAGGAAGAGACAAATACAACAAACCTCGATAAACTTTTTTACTTCAGGCTCTTCTGCGGATCACAGGGAAACAGTGGTGAGTTTTCGGGTTTATCCGGGATTTTTTTTTTTTTTTTTTTTTTTTGCAGCTTCTCTCAGACCTACTTTTATAGAGTTTACTTTGAATAATTGAAGCAGCTTGTGTAACGAGAGTCTTCCCCATTAGTGCTGTGAAAAACACGTCTATTACCAACCTGAGAAATATCAAGTGTGAAAGCATATTGACTGCAGCCTGCAAGTTTTACAGCAGCTTTTTTTTTTTATGAACCACCGTTGGAATCTCGGCTGTGCACATTAAAAATATCCCAACTAGACTCACCGTGAAAGGATATATTTTAAGTCATTCTATGAGCCCAAATAGGATTGACTAAAAAAATCTTGTCCATATTTTTTTTTCTGCATTGAACTTTTAGTGCATTTAACATTTATACTGTGTATAAATAAATACATGTTAAAAAATAAAAAATAAAAGTGAACTCGGAAACTGTAACGTAACAAAATTACTGTACAAAATGTGGATAAAACAAACAAAAATTTAAAATTAAAATCAGAATTATTTTTAAGGGCTTACAAAGCTGTGGGTTAAAGACAATTAAATCTAAATTTGATCCCATAGGCTCATGGAATTATTTAACATGTGTAAAATATATATATATATTTTACTTAAAAGACAGCAATCTATAAACCAAACATCTGTTCATTTAAAGATGACGGATGAAAAATCCACTCTGAGAAAATTAAAGCAAGGGAGGTGGCTTAGAAAATGAGGATTAACACTCGGGATTTGTAACCATCAACCACAGAACCAGAGGTTCAGTTCTGCAGTGGTTCAATCTGTGGGTCATGTTCTAACATCCGCTCTGGGAAATTATACTTCACGTCTCTTTTTTTTCCTCCCTTTGCCCTGGCGCTGGTCGGCTAAAGCTAAATGAATTAAATTCTCATTAAATCACTCACTCGCTCTTCATCTCTGTGAAGAGGATTAACCGACAATTTGTCAAATGAATGAACAAAAGGTCTGTTTTTTTATATATATATTAAAAAAAAAGTTAATCACAGAAGAGTGATCTGTCAGAGGGGGCTGTTTAACAATGAAATTGGAAAATCCATAAAACGATTAAAAATGAAGGAGTGCGCTGTAAATAACTGCGATTAAACAACCGACATATGTTACTCACAGCTGTTTCTATGGAATCTGATTAAAACAGTGACGGTAACAACAGATTCATCCCCTCATGCAGTGTAACTAAAATCTTTAGCAAAATTATATGAGAGTAATGTAGGCAAAAATGCTTACTTCGGTAAAAAGTGTGCTAACAACAGTAAAAACAGCTGTTTTACACCAGTTGTAGCTAAAAGACACGACAAAAGCCTTAATATAACATGACCGCTTAAAAACAGCAGCTAAAGCCGGTAATATTGCGTAAGTGCTTAAATTTAGCATAAGTAAGCTAACTATTCTAGCCTAACGCTAACAATAATTAGCCAAAATAAAGCCAAATAACGTTTAAAAATATAAATTAAACAACTATTGTAAAGTAGCTAATAACCAAACATAGATGCATCCTAAAAGATATGGAGATAAGATAAGAGATTGTTAAATATAGACCTTTTCCCCACAACTAGAATCAATTAATGAAACTAGCTATAGCATAGCCAAGCCATCAAAACAACAACAAAAATCCCAACTAAAAAAAAAAGCCCTGTGTTTATATAAAAAAACAGCTAAAGGGATATTTAAAAGTGCAAATAAAAGAGCTTCAAGTGCGAAATAATCAAGATTTAAATAGAAGTAGCAAAAAAAAAAAGCCCTGCATTTATATAAAAAAACAGCTATAGGGATATTTAAAAGTGCGAATAAAAGAGCTTCAAGTGCAAAATAATCAAGATTTAAATAGAAGTAGAATGAAAAAAAACGTCCATCAACAAAGCTAGGTTGCTAAAACGTCACCCAAAATTGCTAAAAAAAAAAACCCAAAAAAGTTAGCGTCGAAATGGCTTCCCTCTCCGTTTGCCTGGTCGGAGACAGCAGGCTAAAGTTTCCACGTTAGGAGCGTGCGAAACTGTCAGAGCAGGTAAAGACCCGCAGCGGCTGATATAAAAACATCAGCTGTAGATGCAACAACTGAACAAGGTCAGTCTGATCTCAACAGTCCAACAAGCTCATCAGAGACTGGAGGACAATCCCTGATGTGTGCGTCCGCTGCAGGCGACGTGCTCCGTGTCCTCCTCATCTTTTATTCATAAAACTCACATTACAGCCTCCACAAACCCAGATCAAAATCTGCTCTGGCAGAAATATTTATTATCATACCTACTCCTCCATCTGGTTACCCAGGAAAAAAAAAGAAAAGAAAGGGAGAAGACAGAGAGAAGGTTAGACGGCCTCCTTCAGCTCAGAGACGTTGGATTATTAAAAGCCTGGCTTTTCAAAGAGGTCAGCGCTCAGAGAAAAGAGGAGAGAGGAGAAGAAGCATGCATCAATTATCCTGGAGAGTTTGTAGAATACTGAGCAGAGTCTGTCTGAGTGTCATAGACGCACACGCACCCGCGCGCGCACGCACAAACACGGAAAGACGCAGAGAGAAAAGGCCTTGGCTGCTGACATTTAGAAGCTGGTGAGATGTGGGAAAAAATCCCACTCTGTTTGTCAAGGAAATGGACAAAAAAAAAAAAAAAAAAAAAAAAAGGGAACGGCAGCCGCCTGTAGAAGCTCCTCCAGATCCCTCAGAACCGAGTGGCGTAACGACAAACAAGAACCCGGACTGGTACCGATATGTCACTTCACGATCGATACACGCCACTGTGGGACGTAAGGAGCAGTTTTACTCATTCAGGTTGTAACCGGGAGACAAACAGAAGGGATCAATGCAACTTTTTCATGTCCGATATCGATACTGCAGCTTGGAATACATGCCGATACCAATATACAATCCGATACCTTCTTTTCTCCTCCACCGTGCCACAAAGAGCTATGGGTATTTTTTTTCTTTTTATGTTATATCCTGGTGGCTCTTTGGCCAGGAGGCAATGTCTCTGTCATGGGTGTGGAACCCCAGGGTTCACCTCCTGGGCAAGATCAAATCCCGGTTTAGGGCGGTTGGTACCTTCCAGTGGACTCACCACCCGCAGGAAGGTTCATGGGGGTTGGTACGGTACGGTGCGATTTGGGTGGCGGTCGTGGAGACTGCTGCCCCCGCGACCCAGTAACGGCTAAGCGTACAAAAATGGATAAATGGATGTTCTATCCTGAAAATTTGACCAATTATGGCTCGATACCAATCCTGAGTATCGTGCCGAGCCATACCTAATAAATTGTGCACAAAACTTTCCTTGCTAGTTATTAGCTGAGGTAGAGGCAAACGGTTGCAAAAAGGTACATTTTCATAAACATCAAAATCTAAAGCGCTACTGTTAGCATAAATAATAGATACCAAAGCATAGCTTCTGGATTAGACATGGGCAAACTATGGCTCCTGGACCAGATATGGCCCACTGGGCTTTCTGAATCTTTCCGCCATATAACACATTTTATATTATTTCAGCCAACATTACCATAATTTCCGGACTATTGAGCGCACCTGAATATAAGCTGCACCCACTTAATTTAAAAAAAAAAAGAAATTGTACATATATAGGCCGCACTTGGATTCCACGTTGAAACATGGGATATTTACACAGAAAATTTTTTTTTTTTCACTTTTAATTAAATGAATACTTTTTTATCGCTAGCGGTACGAACTTCGTTAGCCCATTAAAGAAAAAAAAATCCATAAATTAGCCGCATTAGCAGGGTTCAGAGGGTTCCGAAAAAAGTGGCGGCTTATAGTCCGGAAATTACGGTATTTAAAACGTATGGCTGACTTTTTACCTCTTCATCCAAGAGGCTTCTTCAAGTCTAACTGACTGCTGGAAAACTTTGAGCTCATTTTGAAATGAACCAAATCTGTTTGTTGCTGGAAAACTTTGAGCTCATTTTGAACTGAACCAAATCTGTTTTTTGTGTGTGTGTTTTGTGTGTATTTAATTTCCCTTTGAGCTCGCACGTCTCAATCCTTCCAACAATCTTGATTGTCTGACATGTAACAGATAAACACTTGGAACAAGACAAAGGACATTTCGCGGGTGCGAAACAATACAGCTGTAAATCCAGTCTCCAAGTCTTACTTTTGTAACTCATCCATATCCATCTAATCTATTCCAACCACAATCCCAGCTCCTCTCCTTCTCCTCCCCCCTTTGCTCCTCCTTGTCTCCTTCTGTGTGGCTTCAATGTTAAAAAGCGTCCTTCTTACCTTTGTTCATGTCAATCAACTGCTTCTTCTTCTGCTGGCGCTCCTGCTTCTCCCGCTCAGCCTTCTCCTTTGCCAGCTTGGCTCTCTTGATCTTCTCCTCCATCTCTCTCTTCTTGTGGTTTTCCTTCACGGCTTCCTGAAGACGAGCCGCGCACACACACGGAGAGAGTGAGAGAGATGAGAAAAAAGAAAAAAAAAATTGAATGTGAATCTGCCTTTCAAGTGTGGATGCTTCAGTGTAGACAGTTTTAACACAGCCGCGGCAGAAGCACTAGCGGCGCCATCAGTGCCATCAGCACATTTCTCACTCCGAGAGAAGAGTTTGATAGTTTGAGATCAGCTGCAGAAATCAACAGCTCTGCTGCTCCTTCAACATGTTTTTCTGTAATATACAGACAAGGACTTTGTTTCATCACCAAGAAACTCTTATAAATCAGGGACAAAAATGTAGCTGTTAGCAAGGCCGCTAACCAAACACTTTATTTACTCATTAAAAGGCACACATCTACTTGGCTAGGTGTTAGCCAATCAATCTGAATTAGTTAATAATAGGTTTGGCTTATATGGTTTTTTGCATATTTGTAGAGTTGGTTTGTGTATATTAGCTTCTTTCCCTGTTTTCCTTGCCTATTCTTGGATAAATGATTGACTTTGGCTAGCCCAGCTCCTAAAATTTGACAAGGGGGCCAGTTCAGGAGCAGATAGACGGAGCGTTCGTGTGAACTAAGATAAAAGATGTGAAAGTAGAGCGTTCGTGTGAACTAAGATAAAAGACGTGAAAGTAGTGCATAAAGGCTAAAATGCTAAAAGGCTTTTTATCATTTTCTACGCCATCTATTGGGAAAACGTGGCCATTGCAGGGAAAATTTAAATCACAGTACAAACCAATTGTAAAATTTGGACAAATTTACAAAGCTGAACGGGCCGCATCTGGCCCCCAGGCCTTAGTTTGCCCATGCCTGGGCTAGCCTTTTTTTTTTTTTTTTTTGAACATCTTTAACATTTCTCGTTATACCGTAAAGTAACCTTCATCTTTGGCTTATTTTATTTTTTATTTTTTTGTTTTTTTTACAAGAGCCTGTTGTTTCAGCGCGTCGTCTATGTGAGAGTTTAACCTACTCACTCAAATGAAAAAAAACAACAACAAAACATACAGATGTGTAGTGAAAGTGACAACAGACGACAGTAACTAGAGACAACAGACAGGACAGACCGGAGGGGGGGGGCAAATGTCAAGCCTTTGTCCCTGCACGACCCAGAGCAACACCGACGGAAAAAACAAAAAAAAAACACAGAAGAGTCAGAAAACACTGATAATCAGTGGCCTTTATGAATGTGACACTGTTTTTGTGCCAACAAAGAGGATGAAAAGGCAACAATGTGACCTTTAGGAGGCAAAATTGTCTGCTTATCCGTTAGCGCTAACTGCGGAACCTGACAGGAACAATCATATTATTTTTGTACCGAGGACCCATTGGACGGTATCAGCCGTTTTTACGAACTGGTAATACCGTGCCTTCATTGAAGGATTATTACATTTTCCAAAATAAAACATATTTTAGTCTTTCTTCTGTGAGTATCAGAGTCTGAATGACCTGTTGTTTTGAAACATTGACAGGTTATCTTTGAAGGGGAAAAAAACTAAAGGGATATGACTGGATACCTTTTGAATGAAGTAAATTAGTAAAACTGAACTGAACACTGCAGCCTGGTACCAAATGACCTACGGACCGGGGTCAGTCCCCAGACCAGGGTTTGGGAACCCCTGCAGTACAGCCTTGTCAAAGAGCTTCTAGATCAAGCTAATAATCTCCAAAGAACAAGTCAGAAATCAATAAAAAAAAACAAAAAACCAAGCTAAGAATTCATAAAAAATAGATTATAAAGTATAAAACTAAGCTCAGAAATTTGATAATAAAGTATAAAACCAAACCACATAAAAAATGTCAAAGTAGACAATAAACTGCAAAACAACTAAAACTCAGACAAATATCCCTTTTTGCCTTTAAAAAAATATATACCCCAAAAGCTCATAAAAACTGATATTACACTTATCTTTATATACATAAAAAAAGCACCATAGTCCTAAATCATAGAGTAACTCTCAATTGAACAAACACAGACAATAAACTCCAATGAGGTTCATTGTTTCTCAGACCTAAAGTTAAATAAAACTTGGCCTCTATTCTACCAAACTAACTTGATAGACCCTGGAAGAAAAACCTCCAAAAAGCAAATAACAGAATTTAACCCCAAGCTTAAACCTGTTGGAAAACCACAGCAGTGAAAGAGAGCTGCCTGGCCAAAAGACAAGTTGATAAATAAGTGTGAGCCTCCTGTTGGATAATTACTGCATGGACGATTATCTTTCATCTGGCAACAAGTTATTTAACCCCAACTGGTGCAATGAGTTGCTTGTCATTTCCTAAACAACCATGTCGAAAGACACATCCCGTGGTCGTGGAAAAGATGTTAGTCTGTTTGAGGGAAGGGTCAACTCAATCAGAGAAAACATCTAAGGAGATTGCAGAAACTACTAAAATTGCGTTAAGAACCGTCCAACGCATTCTTAAAAACTGGAAGGATAGTGGGGACCCATCATGATGGGCGCATGAGGGTAAGAAGAGAGGCAGATAAAGTGATGCACCCATCATGCCTAGTGCCTACTGTACAAGCCTGTGGGGGCAGTGTTATGATCTGGGGGTTGCTGCAGTTGGTCAGGTCTAGGTTCAGCAACAGTATGTGCTCAAAGAATGAGGTCAGCTGACTACCTGAATATACTGAATGACCAGGTTATTCCATCAATGGATTTTTTTCTTTCCCTGATGGCACGGGCATATTCCAAGATGACAATGCCGGGATTCATCGGGATCAAATTGTAAAAGACTGGTTCGCGGAGCATGAGACATCATTTTCACACATGGATTGTGGCCACCACAGAGTCCAGACCTTAACCCCATTGAGAATCTTTGGGATGTGCTGGAGAAGGCTTTGCGCAGCGGTCAGACTCTACCATCATCAATGCAAGATCTTGGTGAAAAATGAATGCAACACCGGATGGAAATAAATCTTGTGACGTCGCAGAAGCTTATCGAAACAATGCCACAGCGAATGCGTGATGTAATCAAAGCTAAAGGTGGTCAAACGAAGTATTAGAGTGTATGACCCCTTTTTTTTGGTGGCGACTTTTTTTTTTTGGCCAGGCAGTGTATCAAGCTAAACATTGATATAGAAGATTGCGAATAATACCAAGATAAAAGTACCTTTAATCCCTCTTTGATACGGCTTAGATTCCATTAGGGAAAATGTAAGACTTTGAAAAAAAAAATAAAAATAAAGCTGATATAAAACAGTAACTTAGCTTAGCAGCTAACTAACTTCTGAAAAATTGTAGAAAATGCACATAATTTTCCCCGCCATCTATTGGGGAAACAAGGGTATTGCAGGGGAAAGGCAGACATATAATAATAATAGAAATAAATTATATAATTAGGAAAAGTTTTTTTTGGGGCGGGGGGCGGATTAAAAAGCTAAACGGGCCGCATCCGGGCCGCGGGCCTTAGTTTGCCCGTGTTTGAATGTTCGAATCCATGAGCATCTTCTGCTCATCTGTGCTGTCGCCTGTGTGTGTGTGTGTGTATGTGTGTGTGTTTGGGCATGTGTGAAGTGAGTGTGTGTAACAGGAAGTGAAGGCACGGCCCCATCTGTGCTCTGATATAATAAGCTGTGACAGTTGAACCCTCTGTCAAATGCCCCTGTGGTCCTGGTGTGTGTGTGTGTGTTACGTCGGCAGCTAAGACTGAAAGATTAAGAGGATCGTCAGAAGGAGGAACGAGGAGGAAAAATGAAGCTCGTCATGGACAGTCAATAGAGGGAGCTTTGGTCTGAAGACACGAGGCTTCGTCGTCGCCGTCGCCCTCTCTTAGATGACAAGGGCAATGAGACGATGACATGGGGGGAAAGGAGGGGAAAACGAAGGGGTACGACGAGAGAGAAGGCAAAAAAAAATTTTCCTTTGTGGCGTGATGTGTACGGACGTATTGAAAATCCGGGTGAGAAATTAACAGCAGCCTGTTGTGACATGTCCTGGAGATCGAATTTACCCTTGACGTTTACACAACAAGTGTTTTTTGATGCTCTTGGTGAAACAGTAAAATGTTTATCTGGGCTTCGGTTTGCTACAGACAGTCAGGTCTAAGGTAGTACTTCTCAAATAGTGGGGCGTGACCCCCTGAGGGGGCCAGATGGGGGGAAAAGGCTGGACGTAAGTGTACCACTACTGTAATGCTTGGAAGATAATGGTCCTCCAGTCACTAGGTGGCAGCAACTCATACAGTGGTTTGTACAGATAAGAATATACATGGGATCAGGTTCTCAATAGTATTTTAATTTGTAAGGTGGGGCGGGCGTGAAAACATTTCTGTCCTCAAGGGGGCATAATTGAGAACCACCGCACACGTTCTTTTTCGACTCCTGATCGTTCTTCTGACGCCTGCTTGTGTGCGATTCCCTGATTTTCCTCTATGAAAATTTTAGGCGACTCCATCGTCAAAAATCGACAACGATAATTTTACCAATAGTGGATTATAAATATATGAACTAATCAGAGACGCATATTTTAGTGTCCCTCGACACGAAAACGACGACAGCGCTAAGTGCTTTTAACTCAAGCAGTCCAGGTTTTTTTTTTATTTTAATTTTTTGGATTATCAGGTTTAAACCACTCAAATCGTTTTTGTTGGTGACAAAAAAAACAACTTTTCATTGATTAGTTAGCAGTCTGAGAGGGTTTTTGAAAGTTACTTTTCAGAAAAGAACTCGTCAAGTGGACGAAGGTTAGCTTAAATGTCAACTAATTAGTCTGATCGAATTTGTGCTAATTAACTTTTGGTTAACTTCAGCTACTGGATGCAATAATATTTTAGTTTTTTGTTTTGTTGGTGACAAAAAAAAAAAACAAAACAAAAAAACTTTTCATTGATTAGTTAGCAGTCTGAGAGGGTTTTTGAAAGTTACTTTTCAGAAAAGAACTCGTCAAGTGGACGAAGGTTAGCTTAAATGTCAACTAATTAGTCTGATCGAATTTGTGCTAATTAACTTTTGGTTAACTTCAGCTACTGGATGCAATAATATTTT